GTGTCTTAATCATCTGAAAAAATTGAGTGATGATAGGGAGTACATCAGACTTCCTATGCAAAAGATAGACCCAAGTACAACGGGTATGATCATCTATATATGTCACATAGTATCGAGCAATTGATAGAGCAGCAACAGGAGAGGGTCCCCAAATATTAGAATGTATTAGATCAAATGACTTGGGTGACTGGTGCATGCGAGGAATAAAACTAGTCCAAACATATTTTAACAGGGAATATATAACACAGTCAAGTTTACCACCAACACAAGCATTGCTCAAAGAAGGAAATAACTTACATAAATATTTAAAATTTGTATGCCCAAAACGGTTATGCCACAACTGAATAGCTTGTGATAAAAAATCATAACGACAAGTACTAGGTAAAATACTAGCATGCAAGTTGGGAATAAATAAAGACAAAGCAGGTGCAGGTGATGGAGGTCGAGGAACTGGTGAAACTAGAGGTGGATCTCCTAGATAATACAATCCATCTCTCTCATGTCCTCCTGATAACAATTCTCCCGGTACTCAGGTCCTGCAAATAACACAAATCAGATAAGAACACGGTCGTACATTGAAAAAACTGATGTACGGATAATAGACTCATGACCAATTTTGACGCATGAAAAATTGAATATAATGTAAAGCCATTTGGGAGGCAGACTGTACCCCTACTAACAATAGAGGCATGTGTCCTATTTGCTAGCTAAACTTGTGTATGTAACGGCTCGTCAAAAGTGGTAAAGTGATGGACCTTACCTGTCATATGACCATTCTCATTCGAGTCTAGCATCTAAAGAGGAGACAGACTGGCATGAGGCATACCTGCAGTGGTGATAGTAGCAGAAGTTAGACCTTGAGAAGTTAGGACAGACATAAGTAAATTCAATCGGGAAGTGATAGCATCCATATCACTTAATCAAGGAGAAACAGTAGGAGTAGCAGTAGGAGCAACGACAGTAGATGGTGGTATCTTAGCAATAACAGTAGTACGACCTCGAGAAGGCGGCTTAAGCACCAGATGGAACTTTCAACAAGCAGCCTTGAGATGTCTTAGTCGGCCACAATAATCACACTGACGAGAATTCCACTGTCTGTGCTGATCTAGAGTGCCCTGACGGCGTTGGTTCGAGCGTTGTCCACCTCTGGCTAAGAATCCTAAACAAGACTCTACAGTAACTGCAAGGGCCATCTGGTAGGCCAGAGGAGTCAAGGTCGCAACTGAAAGTGATGCAATACAGATGCGGCACTCATGCTGCTCAATCACCACATACAACTCATAAAGAGACGGAAGCCTCATCATCGACAAGATCTATAAACAACGTCCCTCAAACTCATCACGAAGCCCTATAAGGAACTTGTGAATCATATCTTCCTATTTTCAAGTATGCAAGAATGCTGCTCCCTCAAGCTCTATCCTCGAAATAGTAGCAAAAGAACATCGAGTCTCATACTTAAGCCATCTCTGGCTAAAATAGCCATAATAATCCTGAACGATCATATTTCCTTGTCGAGCATATGAGAGCTCATGAGAAAGCTCATCAACATGAACTCCTCGTCCTGACTGGGAATACATATCTGATAATGCGCCCCATTGCTTCAGAACAGAGCTATGAAACTAGTGAATCTTGCAGACAAATGGCTCCATCGAGCCAAATAACCATCCAAGAATGGTGTAGTTCTCAGAGAACCATGCAAAATATTCAAGGTCTTCATCAGCTGGCTTTGGGTGAGATCTCGTCAGCCAACTAAGCTTCCCTACATGGCCTAAGAAAAGTTGGAATGAGCGAAACCACTCAACGAAGTTACTGTCATTCAACAATTGTGTTGTAACTTTTTGAGAGATCATGCCTGACATTGCTGGTAATGCGACTGTGCTAGTAGGTACTGTATACTGGTCAAATATAAAAGTGGAAGTACTAATAGATGTCTTAACGGTCTCAACGGTAAAGGTGTCAACAATAGGTTTCTCATGTCCCTCAATAGTGGTCATATCAATAACAATACTAGAACACCCGTAATAGAAAAATAACTCTAAGATAAATAGAATGATAAAATAAGGGAGAACAATGTACCACAAGTTGAATAATAGCGACAGACAAAGAAGGTCCATAAAGCTATCAAATAATTAGGTCACGATACCCTGAAATCTAGGAAATATAAAAGTGATCTACTGCATCAAAAATAGATCAATGGAGAAGAGGATTTGCTTCTTCCTAAAAAAGTCCTAGATACTGCGACTTGACAGCACTGTGATGAAGAGTACAAAAGACGAAACTACATCTAAAAACACAACCCAACAATGGGCTGATGAGTGGGCTAGGCAGTGACCCAACAGTGAGTTTCTAGGTTGGACAGTGGGTTGCTGGTTGGATTCGTTTGGTTTATTGGGTTCGGCAATGGGTTCTGGGTTCGATTTATTGGGTTGCTGGGTTCAATTTTTCTGAAGGGGTATATGTCGTTGGCTACTGTTGTTTAGGTTTGATGAGGGCAGTATGTCAGTGCTGTTTTGTTTTGCTTTGCTTTGGTTGTTGGTGTTGCTATGGTCTCGGTGGAGTTAGTTAGTGGTTTGGGCAATCGGTGGCTTCTAGGACTGGGATTGGGTGTTTTGGTGCTGCTTGGTTTGGTGGAGTGTTGGGTTTACAGGTGAGAAGTTGCTGCTGATGTCGGTGGGTATTGTTGCTGTCGGTGGGTATGTTGCCGGTTTGCTAGGTATTGGTTTGGTGGAGTTTGAGGTTGTCATTTTGGGTATTGGTATTGTTTTCGTTGGTGTGGCAGTGTGGTGGTTGGTGGCTGCAACGTGGAGGAGGGGCTAGGGTTAGGGTTAGAGTTAGGGTTAGGGTTGTAGATCTTATACCAACTTGAAATAAACGTGAGTGAAAAATGATACAAATTAAGTGTAGAACTTCCATATATATAGCCAAACAATAAAGGTACAATAAGGATAAAAAGGTAAAAAGAAAGGCAAAAGGCAAAACCCTAGTAAAGTAGGTTATAACTCCAACAAATGCTAACAGAGAGGTAGAAAAGGAAAAATAAAAAGTGGGGCATTTGATGTACCGAGACAATGTTTTGAGAAATTTCAATAAATAAAATTGGAGGGGATTCACTTTGCAAGCTTGAATGATGAGGAGATGCAAGATTCAATAGCCAAATTTTAGTTCGGAGTAGTTAAATTTCAGTCGGAGCAGCAGTAGTTGTTAGACAAACAGTGTGTCGTCAGTAATGGAGGATTTGGCTTTTACGTCAAGAGACTCCATGGGAGTCTAACGGAAGAAGAGGTGGGGCTGGAGTGTGTATTTATGATTCATTAGTTTTTAAGAGGGAAATCCAATGAGTATCTATTTTAAATTCGATTTAACCCATAAAATTAAATTAAATAATAGTACCCAATTCATTTTTAACTCAAATTAATAGAAACAAGTACCGAAGCTATTAATTTGTAAACGAATTGGGCAGGTTAGTGGGTTGTGGGCAAGAATTGCCACCTCTAGTATTGACCAAGGAATGATATCTGTCGGTGTAGAACACAGCCTTTTTTGTCTCTTTTTATATCATTTACACCAAGAATTGAAGCAACCGTGCAAAGAAAGGAGTGAGCCAGCCAGCCAGCGTGCTGGAGAGATTATGATGCCATGGGACAACCATCTTGAAGCAATAATAACTGATGCAGATTAAAATGTTTCTACTTCATACTTTCTTCTTATTAGCAATCCTGTATCGGTTAATAAAACATAGTGATTATGCAAAGAGTAATATTACTTGGATTTATTTTATTCGTTTAATTTATTGATATAATGAATAATTATCATTGAATTGACAGTAGATCTCATTATTATTTTGAATTGACAGTATACCTTAGGATCAATTGGAATCCGCTACCAATTCAATGACTTCGATATATTAAATCAACAAATAAAAATAATAAATTAGATCTAAATAACATTCTTGTCCTCGAGGAGTAGGGACTCTTTCCGCTGGAGAAGCATTAGAACAAGTTTGATAAATTTTACTTTAACCCTTCTGATTATCTGTAAATGCACTTTACACCCCTCATGTTTCGAATATAATCACTCAAAACCTCAAGTGATGTAATTTCGCAGTCACAATTTTCCCGCCAAATTAAGTGGAAATATTTCTCGCACAGAACTGTGTAGTACAAGTATAAAAACCATGTTCTTAAGACAAAAATGTCCTTGTGTTTCTGAGAATTTGATTATAATTAATAACTGAGGATCCTTATCCCGTTGGAGACGTGTTAGAAGCTAGAACGGTGACTTTTTGGACTTGTGGCAATGACTTAAACTCGTGATACACAATCACCGTCATATTATGCATATTGGATCAATCATGACCTCTCTAAAATTAGGATTGATAATTGAACTGAGTTTTATAAGTTCGAGCCGAACTTGTCGCTCTCATTTTTTTAAACAAGCTTAAAAATTTATTTAAATTCAACTCATTTAGAAAACAAATCGAAAGTGAACCGAACCCTAACAATTGGACCCGACTATCAACTCTATCTAAAATGCTCAAACTTGGCACCTTGATGTAATAACTAGTAACCATATTCCCACTTGAACTAATGTAGCGGGTTAACATGCGACACTTTGATATATGATTAGATGTTGCATTAAATACGTTGTAATCTTCCTCCAAGATCTCCGCAGGCACTCCCGGCCATTTGTAACATTAACTCTAATTTCTTCCATATCTTCATTGTGCTCTTTTGTTAAAACACAAACATGATTCATTTTACTTTGCATTTTAACCTTTTTCCCTTTACTATTATTTATGGTTTTGAGAGCTGATCTTTAATGCTTGTCAAATTCATATAAATACAGTATCAACTATCAAGCACTTGCCATCATTGATTTGAAGTCTCTTTCTTTAATACCTGCATTTATTTTATTTAAGATGGAAAAGTAGACATGTTTTAAATTGTTTTATAGTGGCTTTTCCTTCTCCATTTCCACAGGTTCTTTAGCTAATTTCTCAAATGGAAAAGTTCTTGGTGTGTTTCTTTTTGTTGGCAGTGATTGGAGTGCTAGAAGTTCATGCCACCAGAGAATCATATCAACAACAACAGAAGAATGGCCGTAGAAAGCTTTTCGTTTTCGGAGACTCGTATGTTGATACTGGGAATACACCAAAATTCTTAGCTAACTCGTGGAAAGAACCCTATGGGATCACATTTCCTGGTAAACCTAGCGGTCGGTTCTCCGATGGACACATCCTGACTGATTACATTGGTACTCTCTCTTAAAATAGCTCTGCACTAGTTATTTATTGTAGTTTTTAATTAAACAATTCGCACCACAATAGTACTATAGTTAATTTTTCTTATTTTTGATTTCTTCAATGCATCATAAATAGCAAATTTAATGTTTCATGTTGAATATTTTTTGTACAGCTTCGTTCCTTGGCATAGGATCTCCATTGCCTTATCAAAGCTGGAAATCTGGTGGGAAATCGATACAAGATGGTATTAATTTCGCTCATGGTGGGAGCGGTGTCTTCAACACAATATATTTCCAACCAAACATGACAACCCAAATCGATTACTTCCGACAGGCTATCAAACAAAAAATATACAGCAAACAAGACCTAAACTCCTCTATCGCCTTGGTATCCCTTGCTGGAAACGACTATGCAACTTATCTGTCACAAAATGGGACTCTACTGGTGAGTGGTTAAACTAATCATATACTGTGAACTTATAGTAGCTCATCTGTGCATTGGTACCATATTTGTCCTTGCTAATGTGCCTTAATTATGATATTCCACTATAGTTGCACTGTTGTAGACATATGACATAAATTGAATACTAAATTTCTTCCTCTTCACACATGCATGGGCTCATGAACATATATGAGAATTCATTCACACGCGCATATATACATGTTCCCCCTTAATTTTTCTTGATTTCTTCAATAACCTAACTTTTCTAAAAAAAAAATTTCTAAAACCTTGAAGAAAACAGACAGGTGCTCTTCATCCACATGGAATATAAGTCACTCTTACAGATAAAGGCAACTGTGGTTGTATAACTAGGTTTAAAAAATTAAATTACTCGGAAATTAATCTTGGTTTTCATGAAATTATACATATATGTAAAATAGGTAATGTTAGACTGCCCAATAACAAGAACTAAACAATTTGACGCTTGCATTGCAAGTAACATTGAATTTGGCTACTTTCCAGGAATTTTTTTTTTTTTAATTTGACTAAATTATTCTAGACCCTTGAACTATGTCCCTCATTTCACTTTGTCCTATGCTATCCATTCCCTTACACTACACCTTAAACTATGAGTTTGAGTTTCATATTACGTCAATCGTTAATTTATGTCCAAATTTTTAACAGCAAATCGGGACAAAATTAGAATTACAAAATGTTAGGAGATGTGACCATTGTTAGGAAATTTGTATGAAATTCTCAAGTCTGTGAGAAACAAAAAATAATAGAGAAAACACATGCCAAAAAAAATAATAATTACACGCATAAGACAGTATTTACGTGGTTCGGCAATTTGCCTACATCTACGAAACTGCAGGGATTTCATTATTGAGAAGCATGAATACAGAGGGCGACTGTACAGTATCAATCCACCCTAATCACAAAAAAATAACAATTTTTATATATCCTGCGCACTAGGCTATAAAATAGGCCCACGCCTCCGCTCCATGGACTAATCCTCAGAAAATTTCTTATTAAAAACTAAGCAACATTATTTCGGGTAGGCTAATCATCCAGATCAACACAAACTAAACTTCACAAAAATTCCAACAAATCTCCCACTTGGAGATTAGTTCAATCACCAACATCAACCGTAATCCTCCAAAAAATAGTCCCTCATCACTGTAACTCATCCTCCTGTCCTCAAGCTAGAAGGTCAACTGAAGCTACACACAACTTCAACTTCTCAATAGTGACACCCTTAGTCAACATGTCTGTCGAGTTATCTCTTGTGTGAATCTTCTCCAAAGTGAACTGCCCATCCTCCAACAAATAGTGAATAAAGTGATACTTTATCTCGATATGCTTGGTCCTTGAATGAAAGACTGCATTTTTCGCTAGATGTATCACACTCTTACTATCACTGAACAATTTAGAATTGTCTTGCTCCTTACCCAACTCTTTTATGAAGCTCCTCAACCATACCATCTCCTTGCACACCTTCGTGGCTGCAACATTCTCCACCTCTGTTGTTGAAATAGTCACTATTTTCTGTAGCCTCGAGACCCAACTGACTGCCACACTGTCCAATATAAAAACATACTCTGTAGTGCTCTTCCTACTATCAATGTCCCCTGCTAAATCTAAATCTACAAACCCTTGCAAACAAATATCAGAACCCCTAAAAATCAAGCCAAATCTCAAGTACCTCTCAAGTGGCGCATAATCCATTTTATTGTTTTCCAATGCTCCTTGCCCAGATTTGCCATGACCCTGCTGACAACTCCCATTGCATGAGCAATATCTGGCCTTGTATTAACCATGATATACATCAAACTACCTACTACCAAGGCATATGGAACATTTGCCATATAGTTCTACTCTTCATCTGTTACCGCACTTTTTCTTCGAAAACTTGAAGTGACTTGTCAAAGGTGTGCTAACTGGCTTAGCACTCTCCATGTTGAACCTTTTCAACATATTCCTCCTGTGACAACTTCAACTTCATGTTTGCTCTGTCCCTACTGATTCGCATTCCAAAACTATTCTTACGAGAGCCCAAATCCTTCATTGCAAACTCCTTTGACAATTGTGCTTTGAAATTAACAATCTCATCCATGCTTGAACCTACAACAAACATATCATCTACATACAACAAAAGTATGGGATATGACGTACCAATCTTCTTAAAATAACAACAATGGTCCCCATGACACCTATTAAACCCTGTTGCTGCCATAAAGTATCAAAATTTTTATACCATTGCCTCTGAGCCTGTTTTAACCAATATAGACTCTTCCTCAGCTTGCATATCTGATTCCCCTTGTCTTTCACAACATACCCTTTTGGCTGATACATAAAAATGTCGTCCTCCAAATCTCTATGAAGGAAAGCAGTTTTAACATCCAACCGCTCAAAATGCAGGTTCTTAACAGTCACAATATTAATGACATATCTGATAGTAGAAATATTAACAATAGGAGAAAAGTTTTTAGTGTAATTTATACCTTGTTTCTGCTCAAAACCTTTGACTATCAATCTTGCCTTGTACCATTTGCTCCCATCAGATTCTTCCTTAATCTTGTAAATTCACTTGTTGTGCAAAGCTCTCTTCCCTTTGGGCAATTGAACCAATTTTCAAGTCTGATTAGATGAGAGAGAATCCATTTCATCATCCATCGCATGCTCCCACCCCCTTTCGGACTCAACCTGCAATGCTTCCTCAAAACATTCTAGTTCACCTCTATCAGTTAACAACAAATAATGCAAAGATAGAGAATAATATACTAGAGGTTTTACCGTATATGTAGTCCTTCTAGGAAGAGGAGTTTGTGGATCTGCCAATGGAGTAGATTGTGTATTAGTATCCTAAGGCTCTAAGACATTTCTGTTAGGATCCCCTCAAACTCTACAAAATCTAATTTTACCTTAGTCTCCTTGGGTTGACTTAGTCTGTTTATATACAAAACTGACTCATTAAATGTCACATTAATACTCTTGCGTGTTTTTCGATTCTCAAAAGCATACAGCCTATACCCATAGCTATTAGTATCATAGTCTATAAACACGCACTTACGAGACTTAGTATCGAATTTATCCATATCCTCCAATTTTAGATGTATATAGGCAATACAACCAAAAACACATAAATGGGATGAATTTACCTCCTTGCTTGTACAAGCCTCCTTTGGCAATCCACAATTTAAAGGAACTGAAGGCCACCTGTTTATCAAATACACAACGGTATTTACTGCATCAGCCTAGAATTGCTTAGGTAACCAAACATATAACCTCATGCTCATTGCACGCTCTAGGATTGTCCTATTCATGCGCTCAACCACTCCATTCTGTCTTGGTTTCTTTGGGACCATTTTCAACCTTCAAATCCATTTCTCAGCACAGTAATCCTCAAAATCACTACTACAGTACTCACCACCATTATCTGATTTTAGGCATTTTAATTTCATCCCTGTTTCATTCTCAACTAATGTTTTCCAATTCTTGAAAATATCAAACACATCAAATTTATGCTTAAGGAAATAAACTCATAATTTTCTAATAGTGTCATCAATGAAAGTAACAAAATAACGTGAACCACCAACAAAAGATACATTTGACGGAACCTACATGTCGGTATAAACAAGCTCAAACTTCTCCGTTTTCAGAGTCATTACTACCTTTGTAAAGCTGTCCTTCTTCTGTTTCCCGAGAACACAATCCTCACAGAAATGCAAATCCAGCGACTTACAACCTAACAATTTCCTCTTCGACAGTATTACTTTCATCCGCTTTTTGCTCATGTAACCTAGCCTACGATGCAGTCAATCCCTAATGCTATCACCGTTATGCTACTGTAAGTACCCTAAAATACATATAGAGTTCCTTCCTTTTTACCACAAGTAATAATAAAGGCCCCTTGCTCATTTTTCAAGCATCTGATGTAAACGATGTAAGCACTCCACCCTCTGACAATTGACCCATTGAAACAAGATTTCGTTTTAGACTAGGCACATGTCTAACATTCTTCAATTTCAGAACCGTCACATTTGTTTAAGTAATTTGTACATCCCCATTCCCAACTATATTGTAGGCTTCATCATTACCCAAATACTCTTTACCAAAATTTTTTTGCACATAGTTTTATAGCACATCCATGCATGGAATAACATGGAATGAAGCTCTAAAGTCTACAATCCAAGATTCACTGTGAGAATCCAACGAACAAATCAGAGCATTATTATCAGACTCGTGAAAAATATTAGCAGTATTTTTACCTCTTTGATTATTCTCATTCTACTCCTTTCTCGGTGCCTTGTAGTCCCGCTTCCAGTTTCTGTTCTGACCACAGTTCCAACAGTCCTCATCTCCGCCACGAAATTTACTTCGGCCTCTATTTCTCGAAGACGACTTTCCCTTACCCTTTTTATTGCCTCCCTTATTCATAGACATGCCTCTCTCCTTCGTATTAAGTGTTGAACCCAAAGCAACATCCTCATTCGATACTCTTCTCTGAGCCTCTTCTCTTAATATCAATGCCACAACATCCTCCAATTTTTTATTTGCAGACCTGGAAGAATTGCTTACTGCCACGACAAGTCCATTCCAACTTTTCGACAGACTTGATAAAAGGACAAGAGCTATAATTTCATCATCAAACGGATTCTAACTGATTTGTAACCGTATTAAATTCGTTGATATGTTCAGCAACAATAGTATTTTCAGACATCTTTAGGTTAAACAACTTTTTCATAAGATATACCTTATTCACCACTATACACTTTTTGTACATCTTTTCTAGGGCTTTGAACAAATTAGATGTAGTTTTTTCTTTGACGATGTTCAACGCAACTGATGGGACAAGACATAGTCACACAGTTCTTAGGGCTTTGCGATCCAGAAAATCCCACTTTGCTTACTCCATATTCGCTGGCTTTGTGTCATCGATATGTTGTTATAGATCCTTCTAATATAAAATATCTTTCATCTACATCTTCCAGAACGCGTAGTTTGTACCATTG